AGGCGTGGTGCATTCCTAGGGAATCTCGCCACTCAGAGAGGAAGCGCGCGAAGAATCAGCCGCTTGATTGTGGCTTGATCTTTGACAGGCGATCAGAGACCGGAAGTGCTCCTTTTAAAACAGTCCCCTTCTCCCGGATGGGGTGGCTTTTGTTTAGCGCCGTGCATCCCACGAGATCCTAATCCTGCGGCGCAATTCAGCGGGAGTGTTTCCTGCGCGAGCCTCCCCTCCTTCCACCTCTCTTGGCAAAGATGGCAATCGGTGCTCTGGTCCTACCCGTGCTAACTAGACGGTCCCCATCCGGATTGTTTTGAGCTTGCATTTAATTAGGGACAGGTTGCAAAAATTCACTTTAAGTTGAAAAAAAAAAAAAACTTAGTTTGCAACTTCTTGGGAATATTTGGACTCCGCCCTTCCAACCTCCCCCTCCCACACTCCATGGTTTAAGTGGATTTATTTCAGTTCTTAAGTAACCTTATGGAGCTTTGGATCTCAGCCCTCTTTTCTCTCTCTTCCTACGTCCCTTTCTCCCAATTCTACTGACAGTGTTAAGCCACTGCGTATTTCAAACAGACTTACTCGTGGCTTAGTCTTTGTTCAGGATTTTTCAGCATTGAAAAGTGAATTCGATAAGATTGAAGTATATAAGACTCAGCTGTTTTTAAGGAGCTCGTTTTTCTATTCCTCCGTCCTGAAGTAGCACAACCTTTTGTAAATTTGTCAATAGAAGATCGACCAGGAAAGAAGATAGATGACAAAACCCACTATTCTTTAAGTAGACTGAGATCTGTGCAGGAGAGATTCCCCAATGGGCTTTATGAGCTTTATTTTGATCTTTTGTCAACTGGAACAGAAATGAACTTTCTCAAAGCTGGAGGGGGGAGGGATAAGGATAGATAAAAAAACCTCAAGCTTTATTTGCTGCTTTTGAAATATGAGTAAGCTTCTTTACATCTTTATTCCATTAAAAACATTTCATTTACAACTGACACAAAAAGGTAATCAGATCAGTATAAATCCAGGATTTGAGGTTGGAGCCAAATTTGCATTAGGAAATTTCACATTAGTCTTGTTTCCTTGGTGAAAACACATTTGTAATTCTTCTGCATTCAATACAATTTGTGTAACAGAAATTCTATCTGTTACACATACTTCTGTTTTCAGCATCCAGAAATATGTGCTGACCTGTAGAACTACAAATGTATTGTCTTCAAATCCACTTCTTTCAAAGCAGTACTTTTTATTTGCTATCTCTTACATACCATCCTAAACCAGCATTTAAACAGTAAGCACATGAGCAAAACTCTTACCTATTCCCATATCTATGATTTCTGAATTCAACTATCCATCCATCCATCCATCCATCCATCCATCCATCCATCAATAGGTAGTTTGCCTTGTCACCCTGGATAATAGTTATTTTCCATTTAAATCTGTATTCTGAAGATAGATTTGTGCTCTTCTATTAACAACTGGTAACTATTTGAAATTTCAGACTATGAGTTGATTTTTTTTTTATTGTAAGCCCACCAAATGAACTTTCAAGCTGGTCAATCACTTACGTGAATACCTAAGATCTTGATAGATAAAGTTAGATTTTTAGTTGTAGGGATTTGCCTCCAACTCTTTTGGCTTTATTTATTAATTATTTGTAATGTCTCCTGTTCATTCTGCTGAGGAAAGCCCTGAACTACTTCTCAAAGTCCTGCCCCTGCAAAGTCAAAAGCATTTTTACTCAGATGGCAGGAAAGTAGTCTACAGCAATGTTTCTTATGGTACTGTTGGCTTGCTCTTTGTCTACGCCACTGCAGTCAATTTTTCCCTTGGAATTAGAAACATTCAGGTTTAACCCAGATAATAAAGCTTTTTGATGTGATTTAAGAAAAATAGTATTCTTCTCTAAACTAGTCTCTACTAGTAGAATTTTGGATGATAAGCAGCTGGAATGGAACATGTTTAATAATAAAAACTTAAGTGTTTTGGAATTACGTTTCATGATAAAAATAAGTTTTTAGAAAATAAGTTAAATAAAAATCATTTGCTGAAAGCAGATTTTTTTTTTAGAGCAGACGTTTTCCTCCATGTAAAATAATATGAATTCATTTCTCATAATAAAATTGTTCTAGATCCAGTATAGGAGTACACTATTCCTTAATTCTACATATTTGTTGGATTTTTTTTACTTAGCATCTTCAAAGGAGACCAGTATGATGTGATTTTACAAACCTTGGCTTACTCTTGCCAAAACCAAAACAAATAACTCTGTTTACACTTCTATCCCATTACGTGGCACCTGGTTTGTATGGAGTTTGAGATTCTAACAAAAAGCAATCATAAGATCCTGGGAGTCTAGTCTGAGATGAACCAGATTTTGGGGCTTCTGTGTCCAAGTCTTGTATAGTTTCTAAGAACTGCAGCAGGGTTTGCACACCACAACTTCCATTCAATGTATGCCCTCTCTACCAATATTTTTTTTTCTAACAAGAATGTCAATTCATATTGCTCTAAGCATTCCAGTTATTCTAATGCACACCTGAACTCAGGACTTTATCCGACCATTGGTTGATGCAAGAATAATCTAAAGTTTGCTTTTAAAAAGAAACAACTGTAAAATATGTAAAGAAAGATGGTTGTCGCCAAACATTAATCTAGAATGAAAATTTTAACTGCATCTTTGTTCTTATTATATTTTTCAATAGCTTTCAATAAGTCTCAGACATTTCTAATAAATAATTCCACTACAAGGGTAGGTGGGGGAAACTTTCTGGTACTCTAGAAGGTAAGGAAGGCACTATTCTCCTTTTCTGTAGTCCGCAAACACGGATATGTTTTTCAGTTAATGAACATGAGTTCTTGAATGTCAAAACACATGAAAGTTGTGATGATCCTATAACTGCTTACCTGGGAGAGTGAATTTTTCAATCTGATTTACTTCTGAGTGTGTATGCATAGGAATGCATTTTTATTTAACAAGAGGGAAACTACTGCTTTATGGCTTCCTAACCTGGTCATTTGTCTATTTTCCAAGAAAGGGATACATTTATGCCCAGCAAAAAGACAAGGATGGGTGCCAGAAACGCTAGTATTTTGGCAGTATTTTCAATTTTAGAGGAAGAGAACAGCGGATACAGGAAAGGAAATGCCGTAGCAAAGAAAAGGATATCACATTTGTAGAGAAAGTTGTTCATATGATGCCTTGCCCTTTATCAAACTTGATTGTATAATCCAGAATTGAACTTGTTGAACTTGTTCTCAAATAACCTTGTTCAGATATAATAGAGCAAAACTATGATCCCTAGTTATGAAAATAAGTTACAAGGAAAAATTGGAATCCTCACTGGAAGTTTTATTTAAAACTTGTTAAGGATTCCTAGGATAGAAGTATGGTTACCCCAAAGCAAATAACATGGAAATCAGTGGGATTTATTTCTAAAACTACATGCTTCATATTGGGGCTGTAAATCTATGAATGTATATTGGCCGCAATTAACAACTCACTCCGGAACAGTCCAATTAGCAAGAGTAGGGCTTGGAGTAAATAGCTTGTAGATTGCAGAGCTGGCATTTGAATAACAACAGCAAGCCCTCACATTTCCCTGTTTGCACAGATTAATTCTAATAAATTAATGCATCCACATCTGACACGGCTCGACCCACAACCCAGTCAAATCAGAGCAGTTTATTTTAAGCAATTTGGAGTAATGCTCAGCTTCTAAATGCCTCTATACCATGATTCTGCATGTAACAGACCTGCTTCCTATGGCCTGCATCCTTAAATAGCCTTAGACAGTAAGTCCTTTAGTTACAACTGGAGCTAAAATATTCCTTCAAACTAAAGAATAGAAGAGTACACCTATACTCATGTCCTCTAAAACTACATTCAGGTAAATAATGAGTTGATACTAGGACAAGACCATACTAAGCAGTAACTTTCTTAAGCCTGTTGCTTTCCATTCGAGAAAAAGTTTAAGTCTTTCTGAACATCTCCAAGTAAGAAAATAAGATCAGTCTTACCTGAAGCTGAGTTCACTTCATAAAAGCCTACAATGCAGTCTCTGCAAACTGAAAAGTTCACACATTCTTGCTGGGGCCTAATGCTTATTTCTTCTTTCTTTGCCCTTTTTCCTACACACATGCCACATAAAAAAATAGTTTGATAAATCCAGTCAGTGGAATTCATCATTTTTCTTTCTATCCCTTGACTCCTGCACTCACAGTTCCTTACGTTTAAAATCTGATTTTTCATTTCATCCCATAACAGATGGTCCTTATGTCTCCAAATATTGCACAGTGTGAATAGAGGATTCAATTTGCTCCTTTGCCTCTTCTCCTCTCCTCCACTGTGTCACAGGGTACTGGAGCAATACTTCAAATATCAGTACGTATATTACCTGCCTCTCCATGCAAGCATCCTTTGATGAGGACATGCTAATGTGGCCAATCACTGCACATCCAGATTTGTTACACCAGTGCCTAGTCTTAAGAAAGTTTTAAATACAGTAATGTCTAGAAATGGGTCCTCTATATGTTAGAAAATTTTTGTAATGTTTTCTTCCTCTTTGCTTCTACCAATTAAGGTTACCAATCTGATAGCATAATCTTAGACACATAGTAAGAAATCTCAGAAATCTCTTTTCTTTAGTGGGGTTTACTCCCAAATAAATATGTGAAGAATTGTGCAGTAAGTGTCTTTTCCTGGGTTCTTAATGGAGATGGATCTCATGTTCATTTGCAGAATGGCCATATACACAAATTCATTCATAAGCAGAAGATAAACACAGGATCGTGGGTTAAGATATTTTTCAGTGGCTTAAAGGGGGAAACTGTTGTACCCATTATTCAAATGAATCAGAACAACAACAAAAAGTACAAAATGTATATTGCATCTCAAATCCTACTTGGAAGAAAGTCTCATCACAAATTTCAGAGGTTACCTCCTGAAATCTATGGAGTTGATTATGTTGCATTCTGCCTTGTAGTACTAATAGATTAATCAGAACTCACCTAAACTTTTTATTGGAATCAATTATAGTTGCAAATACACTTACGGTGTGCTTGTGTGAAGTAGAAATTTATGACTTCTACATAGTTAATCATTAAATTAGACCAAAGATTACAATGATGTTGCAATCAATAATAGTTTAGGGAATATAGTTGCTTCCTTTCTGAAACTGTATCCATTATTCTCCTAGTATTCTTTCTCATTCCATGAGCAGTAAAAGTAATTCTATCTGACTAAATGAAAGCTCCTATTCACCCAATTTTTCTGCAGTTATTATTCACAGCTAAACCAATGTAATTAGTGCTCCTTAATAAAAGGGATTAGCCCTCAACCTTCAGACTCATGGGTTTGTGGATTAAAGTTATTTAACTGTTGAAGGGCTTGGTTTATAAATTTATCTTTCAAATCAGGGGTTTTTGTCCTCTTCTCTTTGTTTTTCAAAGTAGAGTTTTTGTCTTCATCTCTGACTGACCTTGTCTAGATTCAGAAGCTAAGCAGGGTCAAGCCTGGTTGGTACTTGGATGGGAGATTTCTGGAGAATACCAGAGTCATAGGCTAGCCCTGTAAGGGGGTGGGGGGGGGCAGCCTTGAAAGACGGCAGTGGCAATCCACTTCTGAAAGACAAAACTGTGTGGATTGTCCATTAAGTCACCAGGAGTCAAGCTGGGCTCAAAGGCAGTAGTTTCAATGAAGGTGAGCCAATCTTATTCAATCAAAATTCAACATTTGCCTCTCCCTCCTCCTCCCTCCCCAAATTTTCTTAAAAGAGCCTTCTATCTTCTTCTGTGCCCAGATCTCAGGAAAAGATATCAAAGTGCTTTATTAACTGATAAGGAGATAAACCTGGCTTGGAACTTTCCTTTCCAATTTGAGTCCTCTAGCTTCAACTTCTGGGATCTTTTGTTGCATCTGCTCATCTGTTTCCTCTCTCTAGAAGGCACTTTCCCCTTGGCTCTTTTCTCTTCTCTGCACTTGTTTTCTTCTTCAAGAAACTTTTCAAACATTCAGAATCCTGGGTAGTATGAGAAATAGAGAAAGATTGTTTCCAACCTTCTAAAAAAAATTCTTACAAAGATATATTTTAGATAAATATAATACAGCTTTCAACCATCCCAAACCTCCCCTCTTTTCCTAAATTTACTGAACAAAGTTCACTGAACTTTGAAGTCTCATTCACAACCGAAAGGAGACGGTACAAAGATTTGTTTCTGAACTATTTACCCCCCCCCCCTTTTTAAAAAAAAATATGGGGCGGGGTGGGTGGGTTGAATTGTTTTTTGGAGTTCTGTTTCCCGATTGATAATATTATTATTTTGAAAAAAATCAAATGATGTTGTACCTAGGAGTAATTTAATCTGTGAAGGAACAACTGCAATCGTCAAGAATTGACTCGATCCTAAGAGAAGGCTTTTAATTTAGAATCAGAAAACCCGGGAACTAGCAGACCGTCGGCTTCGATGTAAAAACGCCCGGATCTATCGCTTTAAGATTCCAGATCGAGCGCCTTGAAATTCGTCCTCTCCATTAATCCGAGCGTGTCAATGTCGGAGTAAGCGAAGGGATGCGAATCCTTTAGAAGCTGCGCGAATAGGTTGAAATCTTAGGCTATTTTTTCTGGGGAAGAAATCTCTGCTGAGGCGCAAATTTGTCAGAGTCGGTAGCCCTTCCCGGGGGAGAAAGTTCTTCATGGGTCCTTCGTCCCCTTAATCCAATTTGGCCTTTATTTGGCTACTTCGGATTGCAACTGAAGCCCAAATGCACTTCCTTGAAAGTTAGATCCATTATATCCGAAGGGAATTCTTTTGCAATCATCTGGATGGGGTGGGGGTGGGGGTGGGGGTGGGGTGTTTCAGGGAAAGTCACGTGTGTATAAACTTCCAGCTCCGGTTTTACAGAAGCTCCTTTCCTCTTCGAATAATTTAAATTTACCTATATGCAGTGTAGTCCTACACTGCCACTAAATTCACTGGATTCACTCCCAAGGTATGTAGACGGATGGTCTACATTTTGAATGGTGCTCACTTAAAAGTCTGAAAGACAAATTATTATTGGAATCTCCAGCACTTCCAATGAGCATTGTAATATTTGATAACAGTTTAATCAGGTAGATAGAAGCTGTTCAGAGATCCTGGTTGTAGTTGTTAGTTGTATGATATGAAAAGCATGGAAAAGGCAAACTGTTCGTTGGGAAAAGGGACAACTTTTTCCCACATGGTTTATAAAAAAAAATGTGGGGAGGGATTGCTAGTGATGTTTGTGATCTTTTAAAAGAAGTAATCACCAATTACCATTTATCAAGTATAAAAGTTAAAAAGTATTATAATCCCAAGTTTGCATGGTGAAATATCGTTTCTATGAAAAGTTGGTCAGACAGAAAAGGTATTGTCTCAACTGATAATGCAACAAACATAAATGAAAAAAGAAAGGGTGGGGGAGAAACCATGATTTGAAAGAAATTAAACCCCTAAATTTAATTAAGTTACTGGATATTTTCAGGAAAGTAATTCTCAGTATATGTAACACATTAAACAGAAGTCTAGAGATTGTGAAATGTGCAACTTGATAGTTATCAATTTTCTGAAATAAACATTGCTTGAACTTCTCTCCCCCAAAATAGTAAAGGTATTTTTGACAGCCAACTGTTGTCTACTTTGGGATAGATATTGTTCTGTGTTTAAAATGGAATGAGTCTTCTTAATTTTTTGGCTTTAAATGCCCCATCACTTTTTAAATAGGTCACAGATTTTGAAAGCCAGCTTTTTAAAAAAAAAATCAGAATGTCTTCTTTGCCTTAACAAGCAGAAATAAGTTTACACTCTCAAGCAAATTTGAGTATTTCAAACTTAGTCAAGAGATTTTTATTTATGTGTGCTGAGCCTTTTTGGCTTAAAGTTCTCTAGATTGGATAGTATCTGGAAATCTTGTTTAGTAATTACTCTTGTCTGTAATCTTCTTGCTATCCCTGCTGTGTTTAGTAGATGGCCTTGGAAAAATGTTTGAGATGAGGGAAGCTTGTTTAACACACCAGGGCTTTGGGAAACAGTTCTTCAGAAAGCAAAACTGTTTTCCAGACATTAGTCTGCATGATATTTTCAAAATGAAAAATGAAAAGTACCTCAATTTTTAAAAAATCCTTATATACTAAACGAACTAAAGTTGATCTCTCTATTTTAAACAGAATATCCAAAGAGTCTGTCTTGATAATGTGGATGGATGAGCACTGTGGCTTTTTTTTTTTTAATGAAAGAGAAGAAATTAAAATGAATATATCCCTGGATAAAACCCCCAGGACATGGGAAGGCAGATGGGTTTTGCAGGTCTTCTTGTGTGGTTTTTCCACTAGAGAAAGTTCTGGATTCAGTTTCAGGGAAACTCTTCTGATGACATTTGAGTATAAATTTATATACTCTACAAAATTATGTACTCAGCTGCTGGCATGCCTCATAATTATTTATAGGAGATGCCTGAGGATTTCCCAAGAATATATGCATTATAGGTAAAATGTGAAGAAATTCTCTTGCAAAAAAATAAATAAATACTGAACAGGTGTTTCCTTTCAATTAATTTTCAGTAAATTACATAGCTTTCTTCTTCTTTTTTTTAAAAAAACCTTCTAACCACTTCCAAAAAAGCTTGCTAATCCATTACTGATCTAAATTCTAGTCAGTGAGAAAGCCTGTCTTTCTATAATACCTTCAAATAGTCCATATATACTTTTGAATGCCCAAAGTGTAAGAGGATACTTCCAAATCTGATTTTGTAAAAATAAAAAATGCCATGCAACCGTATTTATTCTATGCTTTCTTTTTTATTTTAATTGTTGTGAAATGTCTATTTCACATAAAAATTCTGATTTATTTTCTAGTTTGATTATTATTAAACATGTTATTATTTAATATTATTAAATATTATCATTAAAATAAATCAAGGAAATCTACACATTGTCAGATGATCTTCCAAGAACATGTTCACAAAACTGAGTAGCAGTCACATTTTAAATAAGAGATTATTTAAAAGGAAACATTTTGATGCTTTTTCCTCTGCTTTGACTTAAAGTTTGCCTTAGAAGCAGCAAGAACAACAATGGTTCCTTGAGTCTAGAAGAAACTTAAAGAACCAACTTTATTAGCCCAAACCAAGCTGAATTGGATTATTCTGCATATTAACTCTGGAACAGAATTCTATTTCAAATGCTAAAGTATCATTTTCATATACCAGCTGTCAGATTTCATTCTAAAGGGTTCTATCCATCCATATTTACTCATTCTTCAGATTTCAGTCCTTAAATAGCCCACTGAACTCAAGGAGAAGTGCCCAGGTTTTTATTATTACTAAATCCATTGATTGCAGGGAGAAAAGGAAGACCTAGCTGAATTTGACTATTTATATTATTAGGTCAAAAATAATTTACATTTGACTGGACATGATCACAGCTGCAGTCCTCTAAAGATTTACTTGAAAATAATCTCAATTAACCTGCTTAGTGCAAAATATTTGTGCCTGAGGTTCAAACATAAAGTGTCTTCACTCTTCCAATTATCCACCTCTGCCTTCCTTTGAACTGCAAATAAAGAGCACAAGTTGGATAAGAACGGGGTGCAGGCTGGTTTTCCATGTGTTATTATATATATTACTCCAAGAAGAAATTAATTATTACAGCACTTGAATGTATCAGTTTTTCACTAGTTCAGATGACCCTAATTCTTGTCTCATCCTCCCCCATTTCTTTGTTTCCCAATACCTTTATTCTCAAATGAGGTCCCAGGATTTCTAAGGATTTTCTACTCGGGTTATTCTCAAAACTGTAGTGCCACGGCCCTCTTTTAATTAATATATTTTAATTTCTGCCAGAAAGAAAGGCTATTTCTGTTCTTCCTTTGAATGCCTCACTCTATCTATGCACGCATCTATCCTCCAATTTTCTGACCATTGATATATTTCTCAAGCCAGTTCAGATCTGCTTTACTATCTACCAACCCAACTATGGTCTTTGCAAACCCCACACTTACACACATCATCCTGGTCCATATCTTCATTATAGCCACTTCCACTCTGAAATAAGAAAATATATTTGAGCGAAAGGATGCTTCAGCATATAGTCTGTCATAGTTGTTATTGGGCTTCATTGCCAGAAGGACCTCTTCTAGAAGGACTAATGGAGTTCTCCAATGCCCCAGTGAGACCAATTACTCGGTCAAAGCCAGTGCTTAGAAAAGGGAGCTTTTTCTTCCAAAGTCACAGAATACAATCCCTTTTTCTGCATTCATATCGAATGTCTATTTGCACCGTTTTAAAGCTCTTTGCTGAAAACCTAAAGATCTCTCTTTTTCTTTTCATGTTGCTTTTATTTTTAGAAGAGTTGAATCTTGTTGAGAAAAAAACAACAACACAGGACACCCCCACCCCCAACACTTCCTGCTCCATTAGAAAGAAAACGGGATCTACCAGGTTACGGAAGAGGAATTTACGATCAGGCATTGTTGCGATGCTTGACGCAGACCGACAGCTAGCTTGGCAAGGCAGTTAAGCCGGAGCGTATTGGAATAATAAATCAATGCTGATATAACGAAAAATATTTACTTAGAAGTAAATGACACTAAACAATAATGAAAAGAGAACATAAACTTGCAATTATATGTTTTAGGATCTGTGCTGTCAATCTATACTCCACAGCCGCTGACCTGAACGGTAGAACTCTTCGGAAGCAAATGCATTGAGCGAGATTTAGTAATGGAAATCCATAAGGATCTGAATTGTGTTGGATTCATTCTGCAGCATTAAGAAGGTTGAACACCAGGAGGGCAAAAAGAGGGTTCTGTAAGGTTCAAGACATCACTCCCATCCCTGGCTTCTCTACCCCCCACCTCCAATACCCTCCCTTTCCACAGGCAGTAAATTCAAGGCTATAAAAATCAAAGAAAGCTAATGTAAGTTTTATTCAACTATTTAACCGTCTCAGGTCTAACGCCTTCTGTGAGGAAAGAAAAAGAAGCGGTACCGAATTGGACATTTTACAAGGGTAGTAAAATTAAAGTGCGTGTATATGGCGGGGAAGAAGGAGAGAGGGGAGGTGAGATTCAGCAGTGCAAATCCGTCTCCTCTCCCCCAAGCCTCCTCCGCCCCTCCATTGCTTTCCAAACAAACGGGGCTATTGCAGTCCGGAACCGGCATTTTTTTCTCTCTCTCTGTAGTTCACGCTCTGCCTGTTTAAAATCTTGACTATCAAAGCAACATATAACTCACAACGACTCTGCATGTAGATACACATGCTTAAAAATATATGGGAATGATAGATACGTGAGTGTGAATATATGTATCCGTGTGTAGATTTGCTTACCATATAAGCTACTGTTTTACTACAAGCTATAGATTTCATTCAGGCATCATCAGGTCACGCGCCTGTACATCCACACCGGCATATATAATGCACACGCGCGACAATGTTTAATATATAATCGTGGAGGGATTATATATACAAATCCTTGGCAGTTAATGTTGAACGGAGCACGGAAGGGGGACACGGGAAAAATCTTCCGGTATTAAAAGCTTTTGCAGTAGGTTACTCGCCATCTACAACCAGCTTTCAACGACAATAATAATGATAGTGGTAACCACCACCACCATGTGGAAAGCATCTCTCGCGTACGTGCATCCATACGCCTTGGACTTGTAAGCCGATTCATCTCCCGCCCTCTTCTGGAAAACTTTAGAGAAAAGAAAGCACAATTCATATTGCATTTTCCCGACTGAGATAAGTAGCCTTGACATATCGAAGGCGAGCAAA